TTATACTCAGTATGGTCCAAACATCATGACTTATGATCGACAATGCATACGGCAATATGAGGTTTCCCTCATAATATCGAGAGACTGGGTTGGGGTTTCAGGTGTGAGGTTGAACATATTCGCAACATAGTAACGTGGTCGAGGCTATATATTCTCGTGCAAGCGCGCGCCTCGCGCTGGAGCAACCCGCGGCCGCTTAAGCAGGCCGGCAAAGCCCTGGCGCAGTGCGTGCGGTTGGTCGGTGCCAACCAGCAGTTCCTCTCTTCCTCCGGGTTTTCGGTAGTGATTTAACCCTAAACTCGCAGGTGGCACTACTGTGGGTGGTCGCACCGATTTGAGTTTTTGTGTCAACATATGAAAAAGGCAGCGTGTATCTGAAAAGTGAGGTTATGGAAGCTGGTTCGAGGGGTTATAACATCTGATCGAGCTGTTTTGAAGTCGAGCTACCCGTTTCGTGGGTTGTTCTTTGTGCAACATCATTCCAAAGTAAGGATCGTATGTCCAAGGAATCTAAAGCCTGCTCGGAATCATGTCGGAAAAACGAGGTAATTTCGAAGAGCGTTTATGATAACGCTTATTATCATAACCTAAACCTAAAGGGTTTTGACGGCCAGATGTAAGGTGAGGGGAGGAAAAGGTGAATTTGGGATATCGCACTATTGGGGATGGATATTCCAGGGGAAGAATCTGCCCCCCTGGAGGGCGGTTTTCATTGCTCGATTATCCTCAACCGGCCCCCCTGGAGGTCTGTTTTTTTCACGGAGTTCAGTGCACCTCTGCAAATGTGTTTTGACACGATGCCCAAAGATGGTTTCTTTCGGTATAGCCCAGAGGGAGCCCTGAGAGGGCAAAGCAAAAGTGTACATGTGATTGGACGGTTAAGATAAGGTTCGGAGTACAAATGCACGCCTGGAGCCTGATTGCTGAGCTCGCACCGATAATGCAGTACCGTAGTCTACAGACTACCTACTACCGGTCGGAGTCGAGAGTCAGGACCACATGCCCCGCGCAATGCGGACGGTTTGTTTGAAGGGTAATTGCTCGGCGCTCTCCGAGGCTCCACCTGGCACGCACGTCGATTGTTCGTCATTTTTATGTGGTCACCCGGACCGCACTGACACTGACACTGACACTGTTGTGAGCACTCCCGCTGTCGACAAGGGAGGACGGACGGTCTGGTCGTTCCGCTTGAGCGTGGCTGGCCCCTACTACTAGCTTACCACCACGAGACCAGCACTGTGCACACATCTCTGAACTTCAAAATTTGAAGGAGATTTCAAGAAACAAGCCAGCAGCTGGGCGGGTTCCTCTTTGGTTTATACACAATGGCGTCTAATGCCAGCTTTGCGAAGTGGGCTGTTTTAATGCTGCTGTTAGCTAGCTTTGGAGGGGCGGCAGCGTTCAGCGTTAGCTATCTGCAGGGATGCGACAAGTCCAACAACATAACCCAGCTTTGGCTGAACAGCTCGCGCCTTAGTGGGCCTATTCCCCCTGAGATTGGCAAATGCACGGCGCTGCAGTCTCTCAGCCTGCGCAGCAATTTCAATTTGAATGGGTCCATTCCCCCAGAGATCGGCCAGCTGTCAAATCTGGTAACACTGGATTTGGGAAGCACCGGTCTCTCTGGGCCCATCCCAAAGGAAGTTGGCGATCTGGCTAGCCTCCAAACACTCAATGTGGCTTCCAGCCCTTTCTCGGGACCCGTGCCATGGGACGCCCTGTGCGGTTTACCAAACCTTTCTTCGCTCTGGTTGAACTTCACTTATGTTGAGGGGCCCATCTCAGCGGGTATTGGCAAGTGTGCAGCACTACAAGGGCTCAGCTTGCGTGGCAGCTCTAAGGTGAACGGTTCCATTCCCAAGGAGATCGGCCAATTGACCAACCTGACAATTCTTGATTTGGGTAGCACGAACCTGACTGGGCCTATCCCGGGAGAGATAGGCGGGCTCGTTAGTCTTGGCTTGCTAAAGCTGGGTAACAGTAACTTCACTGCCCCAGTGCCCTGGGAAAGCTTGTGCCAGATGTCAAAGATTACTTTCCTGGATCTTGGCGGCAACTCAGAGCTCACTGGCCCATCGCCCCCTCCCTGTTTTTGAAACTTGACCGGGTTGCAAAACCTGTTGTTAAGCAACAGCCCAGTCTTCAATGGGACGGCGCTCCCTGTAGAGGTTTGCCAGTTGGTTAAGCTGCAAGTAGCGTATATGGGTTCCACTAACTTGACGGGTGTGATTCCCGCTTGCGTGGGCAGCATTTCTGGGCTCCAAGAGTTGGCCCTGTTTAGTAACGCTTTAGTTGGGGGGATCCCTCCCGAGCTTGGGTTGCTGCGTAACCTCTCTCTTCTGAGGCTTCGAGACAACCAGCTGACAGGAAACCTCCCTGAAGGGCTCAAGGGGTTATCTCAGCTAACCACATTGGACCTCAAAAACAACAATCTAAACGGCCCGCTGCCTGCTGAGGTGTTTGCGAACCTCCGTCAACTTGAAGAGTTGGACCTATCCAACAACACTTTTACGGGGCCTATTCCCACCGAGATCGGCGCCAGCGGAGAAAACCTAACCGAGCTTGACCTAGCCCACAACAGCCTAAACGGAGTTATCCCCCCCGGTCTCGGTAATCTGGCCAACCTTACCCACCTTGACCTCAGTTACAACCGGCTGTCGGGGGCGCTTCCAGCTGAGCTGCGAGGCCTTCGACCGTCTAAACTGGAAGCAATCTATCTCTCCTTCAACAATTTGACCGGTGACGTCGCTCCAATCGGCCACCTTACCGGCCTGTCGGATATAACCCTCAACAACAACAACTTCAGCGGGCCTATTCCCACTGGGTGGTTCAACAGTACCCAGCTCCAGGTTTCAAACCTCGCCTTCAACAGCTTCTCCGGACCCGTTCCCTTGGGGATTCGCAACATGGCACCCCCCGATCTCAGTGCCGTGCTGGCTTTGTTCTTTGCCGGGGCGCCCGCCTTTGTGCTCAGCATACTGGAGGAGGTTGCGGGGTCAATCTTTATCGGGCTCAATTCCAACCGACTCTCCGGCAGCTTTCCGGACATCGGACGGCCAAACTACACTGCAGCGATCAACGTGTCCGACAACAATTTTTCGGGGACGTTTCGTGCAGGGCCCTTCAAGAAGAAGAATGTCACCGCGAGCTTCTTAGAGCTCATCAATAACGGCCCCCTGGACCTGATTCCCGGGTACAACCTCAGCGGCTTGGAGCTGGTTTCCCTACCCAATATCTCCGGAACTGGTGCCCCCCTAATTGCGCCCCAAATGCGCGCGTTAAACGTAGCCGGCCGAGGGATCCCCCCGACCGCCAAACTGGACCTGAGGCGAGTTCCTGCCACGTGCCCTTACGTCTCTTACGCCCAGCCTGAGGGTGGCGTCATCACTGACATCACTTTTTGGGACGCGTGCGAGAAATCTTTCGGATGCGTAGTGAACCTGATCGGGACCCGGGCCAAGCTGAGCCGCGCGACCCGGGAGAAGATCTGCCTCAGCAAGATCTCGGTGTTTCTGGCGGGCGATTCGCCGGGCGTCCGGTTCTCGGTGGGGGGACCGGGTTCCGCGTTTCTGAACAACAGTCAGGGCAGCGTTTACTTCAACGACTCTGCCTTTGTCGACCACCTCGATTTGGGCCCCGGGGGCGTTGCTTACACCGGCGTCGGCTTTGCGCGCGTGCAAGAAGGGAACCTGTGCCGGAACGAGGGGGCCTCGGGAGTGGTGGGCATAACCTATGGCGTCTTCGCAGCGCTTATCCTGGTCAGCGCAGCCGCGTGGTGGGCTGTCCGTGCGACAGGTGTCCTCCAAAATATGGGCGGCAAGCCGACGCGGCCGCGCCTCGCGGCCGCGTTTGGCGTGGGGGCCTACCTCTGGGGCATCATCAGCGTTTTCCTGGCCTGGGCCGATCTCGTTTCGGACGTTTTGGTGGTTGTGGAGATCTGGCGGGTTTGGTCTACCTGGGTTGTTCTAACCTCGATCCTTGCACCGTTCGTGCTGAGTGCGTTGTGTGCTGGGCGCGTCCTTCTGGAGGACTCCAACCGCTGGTCGCCTTTCAAGGTGAGGAAGTTTTCACATCTCGTCAGAAGTTTTGCGGACGGTTCAACGGTTTGGCACTTGGTTGTCCGCATACGTGTACGGCCTGCTGTGGGTCAAACAGAAAGTTCCCAGCGTAGGAGTTTAGTGTTGGACTAGGCAGTCAGACACGGTCGCTCAGGCTTCGAGGACCAATCAACTGCCGGAAGCACTTATGAGTGAAACTCTGTACAAGGGCCGGAAGTAACGGAAGTAGGTACTTCTGGAAGACCTCCGTTTTTCGTTGGGGAGACATTTTCCTGTTTCCTCGAACTTATTTCCTGTTGGTCCGACTTTCTTTGGACGGCTGAATGGTTTACCACAAGCCTTGCCCTGTGGAAGGAAACAGAAGTGGTAGCCCAGGCTGTGTCCTATGGCTTCAGACGAAGCTGGCGCCTTCATCAGTGGAACTTTGACGCGTCCTGGGCATTGTAGTACCAGTCTCTATAGAATCTGTCACTTTGGAAAGGTGCTTGCGAGTTGAATGTTTTGATTCAGAAGACCGTTTTAGGACCTAAAACTGAGACTTCGTGAGCAGCTTTGCCAGTGCGGACCGTGTGATCTTTCAAGCAAATCGTTTTGAGCTGTGACTAGACGAAGTATTTTCTTCGGTTCATGGTTTTCTTGGCGCAGCCGGAGTGCTTTGGGTTTTGCATCCAGGACTTTAGTCATGCGACCAAAGGTCAGGGCTTTTTGGTGTGAAAATTCAGAAGCGGGCCGTGAAGCTTCGCCGTCGAACCTGATAGACTTAACACCGCCAGATTGGAAACCCATCAGAAACGAGAAATCGTTTACCATGCCAAGGCGCCAGTTGGACTCAAGAACACTTACTACTTCGACTTACAGGCTCGCCTCAAATGGATCCCTTTTTACAAGCTCCCCGAGCCGTCCGGTCCGCCGCCTCTGGGCGCCCTCCCTTGGTGGAAATATGGCCTTATCCCGATCACACTTCCCGCCACCTTTGCTTACGTCATCGTTCTGGACTGCCTCGACCTGGTCGACAAAATCGGCGGTCACCTGCGGTTCGGCTTCGACGTTTACTCCCTCCACCACTATTCCCAGTTCCGGTCGCAACTGGACCTGGTATTGCGGTCGGTACCGCAAGCGGTCTTCCAGACCGCGCTCTACCTGCTGGGCAGCTCGCGCGCCACGCGCATTTACATCGACGAGCAGATTCTCCTGCGGTCTATCCTGCTGTCGCTGCTGAACGTACTGGTACAGTTCAATTTTCTCGTGCACGAGTGCCTCGTGACGCGCATCCCGGTGTGGTTAATCCTCCAGAGGCGCTTCGCCTCGCGCAACTGCCGCGCGACGCGCCTGCCCGATGCGGCCGCGGGCGACGAGGAGGCCAACGACAAGCTTTCGGAGAAGGTCGGCGAGCTGTAGACTTCAGGGCTCAACCCGAGGCCCCGGCCGTTCGTTTGCAGTGATTTATACGTCATAGCGGACAGATTCAAAAGCAGCGATAGTGCCTGAACGGAACGTTTAAGTGCCAGTGCACCCGGGGTGGAGACAAGCAACAAAAAAAGCTACATATATATAAATGCAGACTATGCTGACTGAAGGAATTGCGTGCCGGAGAGGTCTCCTCACGAATGCTGCCGGCATGGCTTCTTTCAAGGTAGCCAATGTCGTCTTGACCGTATTCTTCTCCATTCACGTCATTTATTGTGAACCTGCATTGAAACAGTCGAGCACGGGCCAACGGTTTCGATCCTGTTGACCTGCATGGAGGGCCACGAAATAAAGTCTGCGCCACGAACTGTATCTATTGACGCCAACATGCATCACGGGGAGGTGACCGTCGGCATATGCATGGATGAGGCGCACCATCTGCTTGAGCGACACGTGCGCAACAAGATACTACTCGATTGTACGAGTACGCGGCGCCCCGAAATTGGTTATAAAGAGGATTGCTTTTCAGAATCTAGTCAATGCCCCGTGCTTACATACACATGGCAAGTAACGTCACACAAAACAATATACCTACAAGCGGCTGCAAGCTGGCTGAGATGCACATGCAATTACGCGTGCATGCTTCAGGCCTCGCATCATAAACGTGACAAGTGATTAGTGCCGGCATCTCAGAGTACGTCAGGCTTACGTAAATCACACGCAATCCTGGGCAAGTGCAATGTTCTGAATCGCGTGATCTCAGACAACATTCGAGCGAAATTTAGAAAACGGTAAGAGGCCAAGATTATCTTAACGTTCTCGGCAGTACCCTAGTTGATGGACGTCGCGACCAGCTTCTGTTGCTAACGACGAGAGAACCGATCACAATGTTCGTTAGAGAGAAAACGAGATTAAGCATGGGTTTCAAAAAAACTTGACGGGCCATATGCATCATGTCAAAACATATGTGCAGTGGTGTACTGAAAGAACTTCGGAAACAAAACCGGCTTCCTGCATGGGGGAGGTGGCTTAATGATTGAGTATTCAGAACGGGCTTCGAGGGGGGGGGTGATTCGCCAGCAGAAAACAGCCACCACTAGACATAAACAACCCACCGACCTCCGTTCCCACCCCTTGGCATGGCAATTTCATCTCGAACCCGCTGCCTGGCCGTATCTCGTGTATGAAAGCGAGAATAACAGCTTGCCAAAAAGCTGCCAAAATGCTGCCAAATGCAAAGTGCTTTCTAGATACGACTAATTTGTCAATCTCAGTTCGCTGCGGATATTCGGACTTCGTTTCGTTTTCGAAGCCTCTGAAGGATGCTCTTTTGACCGAAGAACACCAGCCTTAGTAAGACATAAGGGCTTGGTTCGACCTTGACGTATGGCCAAGATCTGTGGTGTCCAAAAGGCTTCACGTCACCTTGGTTAAATCCGGCCTCCCTAGCCCCACCCCCCGTAAGAGTCATAGGGTAAAAAAGCAGAACAGGCTTCCATACCCCCCCAAACGAACCCCAAAATTGCTCAAAATCGGCCTCCATGGCCCCCTCGAAAACCTGAAAGCCGGTGTTCAGTACACCACTGGAAAAGTGTTTGACACGATTAATACGTACCTTCTCAGCTGTTGGCACATCGCTGAGTTTTGCAAGCGAACCGCTCGCCTCAAACACATGGGTTGTAGCACGAGAGCTTCACGTTCTGCATATATATAGCTGTCCTCTCTTCAACAGCCTAACTAGGCAGTCAACAATACGCTACGGAGCTAAGCGTCTAAGCCGAGCGTCAAAAGGGCGTCAACTCTTCCCACAGCCTGGCCTTCGGCGAAATGGTCTCCCGGGAACTGGACCCGGAGACGGCCCCGCGACGAGAAACAGGTCGTTGCCGGCACGTCTGTTGTCCCACTGGATCTGACTTCAAATGAATTGACAACAAGAAAGTCCCCAAACCAGAGTTGAACGTCGGCGCCTGGGTTCTCGACTCTTGATACCTGGCACAATCCGAAAGACTGAATGGCGACTTTCTCAACATTAAGCGCCCCGATAATAATCTGACCGCCTGGACTGGTCGCTGGTCCACCCCAAAAACTTTCCCACGCGATCCCGAAAGCGTCACGCAACTTATGAACCGGAAAGAGTGGCTGAAGCTGCAGCAGGCTGACGTCAGGATCTAGGTTGGGATTCGCCGTGAGGCCCGTCGTGATGTGCTCGTCACGAACCCCCCAGAACACTAGCCGTCCATGCAGCCAAACAAACGTCAGCATGACGTCACTGCAGCAACAGGAGTCAAAATGAGTGCTGCGGTCCTCTCCACCCCGGGAATCCAGCTCAGCCCGCTGAATTTGTTCACCCCCGCTGTTTTTGAAACGCCGGAACTGGGTACAAACTGCTTGGAAAACGCGACGCATTAATCTGGTCTCAATCTTTGGCGCACAGTTTCGTTTCAGTGCTCGATAATACATCATGATTACCAGCTTCCTGTACCCACACAGCTCCTCTACCGTTGCATCTAGCTTTGCACTTTCATCTGGGCAGCACTCTTCAAGCACTGCCACCCCTTCCTTTCCATTTGCCGGCCCGCAGAACGCTTCCCTCCAAATGTTGGGGTGCTGGGCGGCCGCGCAATGGACGGGCGCCTACAGCATACGTGGCGCGTATCAAAGAAGGCGGGTCCTGCCATGCCAGCTTCCGAAGGATGACCAGTATGACGTCAGCGGGAAGCCCCTCCATGGGTGCTTTGGGAGAACCGTGCGCCCTTTCAAGCAGGGATTTCAGTAACTCTAAACTTTCAAGCCGGTGCTCGAGCGGGTCTCGAGTCGCTGCGCGGATCGACCGTGGTCTGAGGGTTTAGAGCACCACGCGCCTCACGCTTGGCCGCGCTCAAGAAACCCCGCGGCCGCGTAAACGGTGTTGCGCCAGAAGTACCCGATGTGCGAATTTGACCGCGTGCCACATACTTTATTCAAAGGAATATTTTGGGTGCATATCGCGGCCGCGAGCGTACTAAGTACTTAGTACGCTAGAAGAGGGCGGCTATATTGAAGACTATGTCTGGCGACGTTGTCTGATCATCCTGCTTAAATTAGCGGTGCCTGGTCCGAGCGACGTTCGCCCGCGAGTCCTTTGTAGTCACGTCAGACGGCAGAGGAAGGCTTCGTTCTTTGGGAAGCAACACTGTTTCGTGACCAGACATAGAGCATGGTGATCGTGATGACCCTGGACAAATGTCGTTCCCTTGGTGGACGTATGAAAGCGGGGCGAAATTTGATAAATCAGAAAGCTAGCGGCTTTCCCATCGTGTTTAATTTCCGAGTCTTCTTGCTGCAAGAGGAGATAAAAGGATTCGAAGGAGTAAGGAAGAATAGCTCACGTAGAAATTTTGAAAGGACAGATACTAGCACTTGTGACTTGTACTTGCGATATTGTTATTTTGGAAGCTTGCTCAACAACACAAAAACGCTAGCCCGTCATCGTTGAAAGCCGGTGGTGAACGCTTCCGCTTGGCGTGTACGATTTCGCCCACTTCCTCAACGGAAAGCCTCTCTGGCCGTTCACCGAGTTTATCAAGATCACCGTTTGCGTACGATAAATTAGCCTTTTCATTCTTCATTCTTAGGACCTTTCGTTGATTTGGACGTCAATTCAAGCTAGCATTGCAGCTGCATGATTTTGTGAACCCGAGCGTCCGATTCTGCTTTCTGGCATGTAGTGACTCGTTCATGGTTTTTATAGTATGATTACCATGCCCGATATCTGAGAGCTACTTTTATGAAGCATGGAAGACGGAACAAGTATCTGACTTGCTCTTCAGATAGAATCGTTCTTGCTTTCTTTTGGACCGCAAGTGGTGAGGATGCTTCCGGCTCTGCCATTCGTATCCTTACCGTTGCCCTAGCCATGCTTATGCTAATGTTTCAATTGGGAGACCAGGTCATAGACGACCTGGTTCAAGTTAATTATTATGGGCCGCTCATAAAAGCTCGACATCTTGTGCTCACATCCCTGCTGCGAAGCAGCTAGAGTAGATTACGTAGTAGGTATGACACCTCCCATACGACTCTGGGCACGTAAATCTTTTTCACTTTATGAACACATATAAAGACTGAGCGAATCCAGAAGAAACGGCGCTGAATCTACTAGGCTTCCTAAGTCCAAACAAGGCTTAGAAGAATACCAGTGGCTGAACTATGGCAAATAGTAGCGACACGGAAAGAGGGGCTATGTTTTACATAAGCAAACCGTTTACAATGATTGTCAAGGTGCGAACAGAAAGCCTCCAACTTTGCATGAAAATCGTCTTACGGCCCTCAATTCACTCGATCTCGGTTTTGCCCTGGCGCCGGGACCCGCCACGAGACCGCTTTTGCATTTCTCGTCCTCTTTGAATGCTCTAGACTTTACTTAGGTCAAATATTCCAAGGAGCTGTCTTCGAAACCAAGCGACAAGCGGGCGGCAACGCCTTGCACAGCAAAACCGTTTCCGCAAATACAAAGCCAGCGCCACGAAACGAAAAAGTGTTCAGCCGTTGCTCTCAACGTGCTCTGCTTCACGGATGATTCTTGGAATAGAAAATCTTTGGTACACCAGTAGCGAATATGAGGGCGCGGGTTCTTCTGAAGCTGTACTGGGCACGATTGAAAGTCGAAGACCTCGGCAATAAGAGCTCCAGGAGGAAAGAAGTGGTCAAGCGAGAATGTGCCAGTGTATTGTCTACTTTCAGACTTTTCCAAAGTGTGCTTTAAGGCACCGAGAATATGTCGGCCCGGGAAAAGCGGCTGCAGAGGGAGGCGGAAAAGACCACAAATGCGGTGGGCATGGGGCAGCGCGGGATTGTTGCTATCGCACAGTCCCCAAAATACAAGCCGTCCATCCAGCCAGACCAGAGTCAGCAAGGCTTTGCTGCAACAAAAGGGATCAAACGGAGCGCTGCAGTCGTGTCCTCCTGAGGAAACCCTCTCGCCGCTTTGCGGTGTTTGTTCAGAAGCGCTGGCCTCGAAATGCTCCAAGCGCGGGGCGCAAACCGCTGGAAAACATTGGCGTCCTCCGTTATTCTTGAAGACCGGAGCACTCTTCTCCAGCGCCGAGGAATACCGCGCTGTCACCATTACTCTGTATCCGCATAGCTCCTCAACTCTTGCGTCCAGCTTTGCGCTCTCTTCTGAACAGGGCTCCCCAAGCAATACCCATCCCTTTTCCACTTCCAGACCG